AAGAGGGAGGGTGGAACTGGGAGGAGATGAGGGAGGGGACTACAGCCAGGATACTAAGTGAATAAGTAGTTGTAATAACAATAATAAAAGTTAAAAAAGAATTAAATACTGGCTAAATATTTGATAGGGCATTTACAGAGCAGACATTTTGACTGTATAACTATAATGCTGAGAATGTCAATTCACAGAAACATGAAGTATGAAATGACAGAAGCACACTTAGGGTCACTTCAGAAACTGCTACAAAGTCTGTCCTAATTACAACCCAAACCATTAACATATATTAAAGGAAACTCAAGCCAGCAATTCAAACAACAGTTTTTAAAATAAAACATCCTAACACCATCCAAAGACATACTAATGTGGTTCTTGTGTGCTAAGGGATGACTGTGGGAGACATAGTCTTTGTTTTCTGCAATTAAGCTATGACGTTTCTACAGGAGCAGAACATTTTGTATGCACATTTAAAAGCAGCCTGCAATTCATAACATATAATAATCTCGAATCTGAGCAAAGATACTTCAGGCAGCAACACTTGCAGGTGTTGCATGGAGTGATGATATATGCAATGCCAAGTGCACACACATTCAGTGTTTGCAAGCTAGGCTGCAACGATGCTGTGCACTGCAAGCAACACCACACAGTAGCGATGCTGCCAGAAACACTTCCAGTTGTGATGGGCTTGATTTTGAGTTAATTTTTGATCACTGTGCATTCAGAAACGTTTTTCTGTCTCCCAGCCCCATAGCCAGTTGTGTGACTCCACATATGGGCATGACTCAGTTTAAGAAACAGAGCTCCAGGAAGTACGCTTCTATCCAGAACTCAGCTGACCATTACAGGCAGTGTGGCCATCCCCAGTAACGCAGCTGTTGGGCTGCTCGAGAGATGTGAATCAAGCCAGGTCTCTCCCTGTTAATCAGTATGCCCTTTTTTTTTTTTTTTTTTTTTTTTTTTTTTATCAAGGGCTCACTACTGTGTAACAGGCTCAGGGGTGGACTTCCATTGGTGAAGTAAGCTGGGACCTTACTTCCTGGTGGCACCAGGACATAAACACCTTCAATCTAGTGGTGAGACAGAGGACACCCAACATTCTCCTCTTCCTGTAATGTGGACCTGGAAACCTGACCTCTATGTTCTTTAAAAACCTGAAATCCTAAAACCACAACCAGAACTAAGAGCCCGATTGTTCTTTCTGTTTCTTTGTTAAAAAGAACACAAATGCTAGAGATGAAACTAATTCTGTGAAATTACCCATTAACTTTTTCAGGAGAGATCAACTTGCTGGACTTTTTCATAATTGCCAAATGTGCCCCGGGTCCTTTAATACATAGCCCTTAAGCTCTGTGCTGAGAATGAGGGGAAAGAAAAGGTATCGAGACATCAAGGGGAAACACAGGCAGTCAAAAGCTTCTTTTTTTTTTTTCTTTAAGATTGAAATTTTAAGCTGCAATCCACATTAACTGGGTCTCATATTAACCTTCTGCTGAGAGAAGCCTGAGGGACAAGGCTACGTCCAGCTTCCACCCAGATTTCATTATCTAACGATCCGTCTTTCCAAGTCCAACTACGTATCAGGTGAATTAAGGGGAAAACCAATTTCTACATCCCTTGGATGTGATGAAATTGATTATCCCCAGGCAGAGAGAGAGAGAAAAAAAAAGACTGGAAATAACCAGTGCTGCTTCGTATTTTGTGCATCTGTCCTACCCTGGTATCTGTTTATTTCTACCAGTTATTGACAATGTTTTTGTACCATACAAAGAAGCCCCCACCTCCACCCCCACTTTCACTGACTTCAAAAGTAGAAACAGGAAGCATCTGTTTCTAGGGAAACCTGAGGTTGGAAGCTCTTGGTTTTTGGATCACAGAGTGTATTCCTACACAAATGGTGGTCTATTGTATGGTGACAGCCCTTCCTCCTCATTTACCTCATCCCATTTACAGAAATTAATGCAACAATGGGAGATGATTGTTGATGCTCATTATTAAATCATTTATTCATCCCACACAATGATTCAGAATTATTCATTAAACTTGCTAGAAGGAAGCAGGGTTTTATCTCCACAGTGGCTTGGGGAGGGATGTGTTCTTTAAAAGGATATTTTATAACAACACAATTATCGTAATTAAAAGCTACCCTGATCATCTGATGAGCTTCTGACATATTTTTGAGCACTGGCATTTTAGCACAAGGGGAAAAATGAGACTGAAATAGTATTGGGAAATAATATTGCTGAGGGGGACAAAAGCTAGAGGCCACATTAAATACTACCTGCCACCATCATCCCAGCTTTATCAAGGTCTTTAAGTTAATTATTTTTATAAAAGAACACTGAACTTCTGGCTTTCCAAAATGGGTTCAAGTCCTATTGCCACTGTCTACATTCCTGATCAGTCCACGGCACTGGCCCCTGGCCTTGACACAGACACACAGCTCCTTAGTTCAGGTCTACTATCCAAGCCTCCCGATGTAGCAGCAGTTCTGCCCACACCTGAACTGCAAATGTAACTTCAACTGTTGCCCAGGCTTGATCTGAGTCTGGGCTTCGCATGCCACGGAAACACACAGTGATAGCAGTAGGGCTTTGATCTCTCATTTTCCCTGATGAAGTAGGTTTCGGTGAGGATCCTAAGGCTAGGGACAAAGATGTATCTCCTTACACAAGGAGGTAGTGCCTAGGGGCAACACAGGGCTGGGAGAAGAACAGACTTCTAGGAGACAGACAGGTGTATGAGGGCAGGGCAGACAAAGACCATGGTGCCCTGTGACATGGAGGGCACATGATATGGGACAGACAGTCTGAGTTGGAGTCTTCTCTGCATGTGCGTGTCCCTCGGTGTGTCCTGAACACCCACTGAGCTTTGTCAGCTGGCCACTGGGGGCTGCATCTGAGCTAAAGACTTTGCTTCCCCCACTCTGTCCATACCACCGAGGCCTCGCTGTGAGCCAGACCTAAAGGCAGGAACAGATGGACCCTGTCTCTACCTTCAAGGAGCTGACGGTCTAGTCAGTGACTCAGACACATCACCACTTGCAAATCCACAGTGACAAGGAAGTCAAGGGAGAAAGGTACAAAGTGAGTTGATTTTACCATGTAACATGCAGGCAGCCGGAGCAAAAGGCAAGGACTTCTGGGAAGGGCAAGCTGAGGAGTTGGATCTTGTGCTGGGGTAGAAGAACGTATGTTGGCCCTGGCTATGGAGCTGCCTCAATATGAAGGAGGCAGAAAAAAGACCCATGAATGAACACAGGCCTGCCAGGCAAGGAGACCCTGGCTGGCCTCAGAGCCCTCAGGATGCCAGGGCCTAATACCACCAAGAATGGAAAAGGAAAGTGAACTCCTGTTCTGCTTCATGCTTCAAGCAATTTTCAGACTGTGATCTGGCTTCCCATTTAGTTCTGCCTAGGGGCAGGGCCTGCATGGCCAGGGGTAGTCCTGCTCAAAGGCATCAACCAGCCTCATGGTAGGTATCAACTTTAACAAGATGGGGACATGGGATTCACCTCAGAAGCACACACAGTCCTGGGTGGATGTGCTGACAAGAAACCTGATTCCAGCACCTGTTAGAGCTGTTGTACGTCACGGGCAGTGCCTGCTGTGCTCTAGGTGGTCGCCCTGTTAACACTGTGGGTCCTCTCAGCGTCTGGACATTTTCATAGATAGAATGTGCTCTGTCCTGGGATGGGCAGCCCAGAGCCATACAGCACTTAAGAATGTTGACACAAAGAAAAACAGACAGCAGGGAGGGACTGCATCACTTGTACTGCATCCTCGTGCTGTGGAAGGGCTGGTTTTGGCGGCCTTGAATGTTCCACTGGTTTGATTCTCCATTGCAAAATAGTCGCCATGGTAGAGCAAATGCTGTCCTGACACTCACACTCCTTCCTTGGCATCAGAAATGTTTTCCACACTAACTCAAACCTTAATAGAAGTTTCCTACCTCATCTCTATGGAACAGTGGAAAATGTCTCACAAGTACGGAAAGCCTATTGGGATTCACACTGGAAGATGACAAAAAGAGTAGTGGGATTTGTTTTTCTTTCTTCTTTCTCTCTCTCTCTTTCTTTTTTCTTTGTCTAACAAATCTTGGCTCCTGAGTGAGCCCACCTCCAATCCTGTTCCTTCCTGGAATAACTAAATAAAGGGATTCATATATTCAAGTGTTTGATACAAATGAGCTGGGGAACAGTCTTAGAGGGTCAACTGGGGGCAGGACACACAGAGGCTGTCACAGCTGGAGTCTTGACAATCACTGATCACTTAGGTGAGCCACCTAAAACACTCCATTTCTCTAGAGAGGCCCCAGTAGGGGATCTAGAGAGGAAAGAGGTGGCATGGGCTGGGACCAGGGAGTAGTCATCAGAAGCTAAGGTTTACCTTTGAAACAGGGCATCTTCATTTTGTGAATGTATACTTGTCATCACATGAATGATCACTTGAAGTCTATATCACAGACATCCTATCCATACATCTCTCTGCTCTAACTCAGGGAGGAACCATAATCCACCCCAGTATAGGTGAATCCATGGAGGTCCCAGGACTGGTCTACTGGAGCCTCACCCCAAGGTTTCCTTCAAGAACATGAGGAGTCTTGTAGGATGCTTGGTTCTTAAGGCTTATCTTTCCCTGAGCCAGTTAGCGCATCCCAAAGAAATGAAGGAAGCTGTCTCCAGGCCTCCTCATTGCCCAAGGTACATGTAACCACATTCTGAGCTCTTCTGTTAGGACCCCTGACCTCTGAGGCTCCCATCCTCAAATACAGAAATCTGCTTAAGGGTGGTGCATAGCAGGTCAGGGGCTATCCCAAGTGCTTCCTGGGATTACCACCCTTAACCATCCTGATGTCTGTAGAAACTGAGGCAGGAAGAAATCAGCAGCTTGTCCATAGCCATAGTACTAGTGAGTGGGTCAGAACTAGTTCCATCCAAAGCCTTGCCCCCTCTTCACTTTGCCTGGTGGCAGAAGCAGGTGGGCACACCCACACCCAGGAGCTACCTGCTCTAGTGAGCTTGTCTGCTAGCTCCTTCCGCACGGCTTTGGTGAGGTTGAAGTAGTCGTCATCCTCATTAATGCTCTGCAGGAACAGTGGGATATGCTGGAAGACAATGGCATGCTGGCACTGCTGCTGCTCTGCGATGCTCAGCTGCTGGTCCAGCCAGTGGTCCTGGGCCTGCTTCAGGTCAGGGCACCTAGAGGCATCGTACAAGAACTGGGAGTTGAGCACCAGGAACAGGACGCCCCCGACCCAGAAGCTGAAGTAGTCATCTCCCCATGTCTGGCAGAACTCTTCCACAGTCGCAGCTGTGGGCACATTGCCCAAGTCATGGTTGCCACTGACCAGCACCAGAGGGATGTCCCGATCAACAGCCTTCAATACTCGCTGCAGGTCTTTGGTCTGCTCTTTCCGCCAGGGAGTTCCTAGAACAGAAGAGCGAGCACCTGAGAGGGCTGTAGGCTGTTTAACTATTCACTCACTAGAAAGTAAGATGGAATAACTGAAAATGACTGTCACATAATGTCAGAGAGTGGACACCTACTGGAAGCAAATGGATGGAGCTCCTCAGAACCTGAGAAGCAATCTGAGAAGCTCAGTCTCCCTACGGTCACCTGCTAAGATGAGACAGCAGAGAAGCAACTTTATTGCTGCCTTCAGGTGCACCTGGCTATCCCCTCACTGTCTCTGTGTGGACCCGGTCTTGAACAAGACTGCAGAATCCATCAGTACCTTTAGGGAAGAAATCTTGGATCTAGAGATTGATGTGCTAAGTGTCCCAGCACACAAAGAGGCGTTCTGTCTCCCTTCAGCTGCTCAACAAGGCACACAAAGGCTTAGCATCTTAGCACTCAGAATGTCCCTCCCTTCTACTCTGGCATGTAGGGCCCAGAATGAAAATAATTATTTGGATAGAGTTGGAAAACATGTGGGCAACCAGTACCCTCCTTCTTCAGATTGCTGGCCTCCACACTTCCTGTAATAATGTATTAAAGCTTTAATAAGTGGATTTTGAAATAACCAATTCAATTCCACATCTGTTCTTCATAGCCTCTCTGTGTCAATTTATTTAACAAATATTTATTGGGCACTGACTATGTGTGAAGTATCAATTTAATGACAGGGCTAAGCAGAAATTTTCCCTCTGAACTGGGGAGTTGGATACTGTGCTAGGTAAATTACCAACATGCATTCCATCTGCCTGTGATGTCATGAGGAGTTACTGAGAAAAGAAAAGCAGGTTGAGTATGTAACCCCAGTGCCATAGACAGCAGAAGACTTGATGGAAAAGAGCAGGCCGACTTCCCTGAATCTGATGAGACCCACAGCAAAGGGAATTAAGGCCAAAACTGCAAATAACTAGAAGGACAATTTGAATGTCCTTAACAAATGATGGGTTAACATGAGTTGATGCTTCCGTGCCCATTACATTGAACTGGGCATTATACATGAGCCAAAATGTTGGCATATCCCATAAAACTGCACACTTTCACAGATCAATCAGAAATAAAACTTAGAGGATGTGAAGAAAAGCTCTCATGAAACAACTGAGCTAAGAAAGGCAGAAATGCAGAGATGAAGAAATTTAGTCATAAGGCAGCAAGTATGGAGTGGGAACGAGGAAAATTCAGCACACAACAGGTTGCAGAAATGACAGCTGCTCAGAGGTTACTGTTTTCCAGGGCTTCCCTCTCTAGCTGCTCTGGAGGTCCCAAGTAAGCGCCTCATCCCTAATGCTGTGCTTCACACCTCTTACTCTTTTCTCTTACGAGATCTGAGGGGCTTGGTTAATGGCCACAGTGATGGTAGATTGAGATCTTCCTCCTCCTGTTCCTGCTTTCATGCCACTTACTGTTAGCTGGATTGTTACTGTATAAGGCCAGAATTTCAGAGTCTCACTGAAATGCTTTTTTCATGTATGGCCCTTAGTCACTGTTCTATTGCTGTGAAGAGACACCATGATCACAGCAATCCTTACAAAGGAAAGTATTTAATTGAGGCTGGCTCACAGGTCAGAGGTTTAACCCATTATCATCATAACTGGAAACATGGCAGCATGCTGACAGACCCGGTGCTGGAAAATAGCTGAGAGTTCTATATCCTGATCTGCAGGCAGCAGGCAGAGAGACACACACTGGTCCTGGCTTGAGCTCCTGAAACCCCAAAGCCCACCACCCAGAGACCAACTTCCTCCAACAGGGCCACAGCTCCTAATAGTGCTACTCCCTGGAGACGAAGCATTAAAATCTATGAGCCTATGGGGGGCCATTCTTATTAAAACTACTAGATACTCAACACATATTTGGTTAAAAACATAAGACACACAGAGCAGAATCACACATAAAAATGTTAAAGGCTTCCAGATACGTTCATCTATTACAGAAAAATTTCTCTATAGATTCAAGGAGTCTAATTCTGATTAATTATGAGAAGCAGATTTAAGGAGCTGGGGAACTTTATGTATCATTTCTTCTTCCCTCCTCTTTTCTTCTAGAAAATGGTGTGTGTGTGTGTGTGTGTGTGTGTGTGTGTAATAATAAGGGAGAGAAGGAGTAGAATACAGAATTAAAATGGAGGAAGGAGGAAGGGCAAAAGAGCAGAAAGCTGAGAAGAAGAGGGGGGAGGAAGAGGGGAAAAGAATGAGGTGGGGAGGGAAGATGGGGTAGGGGGAGAGAAAGTAAGAGGGACAGAAAGAAAAAGAAAGGGAGAAAGAGTCAGAGGGGGCACAGAGAGAGAGGCAGAGGCAGAAAGACAAAGAGAGAGACCTTTTTTCCTAAAGACCCTGGGCTTATTACAGAAGCTTCAGAAAGGTCACTAAGGGAGCTACACCCCAGCTCTTACCCTTTAGTAGAACTTTCCTGAAGGAAGCTGGAGGAACCACACAGCAGAGTTGAGACCTCAGTCTATGTGCACAGCTAACTGGCCTCAGACTGAGAAACAGTAGGTACTGCCTAGCACAGGGGCCAGGAGGAGGCTCTGGTAATGGTGTTGGGATTTCACTTATAGTTGGCTTCTGCCTCGTGGATGGCCTGGGTTAACTATTCCTGAATCCACATTTGCAAGTACCATGGACTGATACAGCTTCTTCAGTGGAATCCAGATAATGTGCACTTGTACTGATGACCCCCTGAGGTTCTGTTGGTTCTTTTTATGTGGCTAACCTCTTAGCTCATACCTTGATCTTAGCACACCACTTCACACATGAACCACTGACCAAGGCTCATTGGTCACTACTCTCATTGCTAACCCTGGCTGTTCCTCCTCCTGTCACCCTGATGAAGAATGCTGTGATGCTTATGGATGTTCACCTTAGAGTCCCAAACAAGCCAGGGACTGTTCCAAAACTGGCCCACAGCAGACAAGTAGCTCATCCAGAAGGTTATCAGGGTTTGAAACAGGCTGTTCTGGTTATGAAGAAAGGGGCTCAGCCAGCTTGACCCATTGTCTTGAACTTTATGACACTAAGGACAGAACATCTCCATTTTTAAACCTATTTGTATTTTTTACTGGAAAACATCAAGGTATTTTCATTTTCTTTATTGAAAATAATTTTTATATAATATATTTTTCAGTTTTCCTCCCTCACCTCCCAGATACTGCCCACTTCCCCACCCATCAACTCCACACCTTCTTTTTCTGTTAAAACAAACAAACAGGCAAATAAAAATACCAACTAGAATAAAAAAAATGGCATAAGAAACATAAAACACACACACATACACTCACACACGCCCGCATGCACTCACGTACCCACACAATACTGTAAAAATACAAAATCAGAAACTAACAAGCAAAAGATGAGTAAGACAAAAAAGATGCTCAAAGCAACATGAAACAAAATGTCAACAAAAAAATACCACCCTGATGGCTATTCTTGGTTATCAATTTGACTACATCTGGAATTTAAAAAATCCCAAACTGAAGGGCACATCAGTAAGGGTTTGGTTTTTGTTATTTTTTTTGCTTAATTTGAAGTAGGAAGACCCACTTCTAATGCAGATCTTAAGGTAGGAAGGTACACCTTTAATCTGGGCCACACCTTCTGCTGGAAGACTATATAAGGACATAAAGAAGGAAGCTTCTGATCTTTGTCTTGCCAGCGAGTGCATTGCTTGGCTTGCGTTGGAGCCTACTTCTTCAGGAATCCAGCTTCTACTGAAGAACAGCTGAGACACCAGCCTCATGGACTGAACAACTACTAGACTACTGGACCTTCTGTTCACAGCCAGCCACTGTTGTGGCTGATCTCCAATATCAACTGGAGCTTGTCTCTTGGTTAGGGACAGGAGCTCCTGTCTACTTCCACCTCTCAGTGCTAGGGCCCCATCTGGCTTCGGCCCATGCAGGCCCTGTGCTGCCTCCACAGTCTCTGAGTTTATATGTGCGTTAGTCCTGCTGTGCTTGGAAGACACTGTTTCCTGAGTATCTTCCATCCCCTCTGGCTCTTATTGTCTTTCTGTCTCCTCTTTCAGATAGTTCCCTGAGCCCTAAGGGGAGGGGATTGGTGAAGACACCCTGTTCAGGGCCAAGTGTTCTAAAGTTTCCCACTGTCTGCACACTACCCAGTTGTGGATTTCTATAATAGTTTTCATCTATGCAGGAAGAAGCTTCTCTGATGGTGGCTGAGTGAGATCTATGGGTATAGCAGAATGTCATTAGGAGTCAATTTATTGCTACATTCCTTTAGCAGAATAACAGTATGTGGTTTTGTTCTAGGCTTATGGCCCATCTAGTCCCAGCTTCTTAGCCATCTGAAGAGTGTCAGTCATGAGCTAATTTAGTGGAGTGAGCCATAAATCTACAACATTGGTGCCACTATTTCACCAGCATTTCATGCAGGCAGGTCACAATTGCATACTGAAGGGTTTACAGCTGAATTCAGTTTACCTTCTCTATTAGTGTACAGAGTACCTTCCAGTACCATGGACACTAGTCAGTAGGGGTAAAGGCTCTAATTAGGCACCAGTGTGGCTTCTCTGTGTTCACTGAGATGTGTAATTGCCTTCAGCAATAGGGCCTTATAAGTTTGTGGACAGCAACCAATCGCCTTAGCAATAGCTGTGGTTTAAAAGGAATGGGCCCCCTAGGCCCATAGCTTTGAATGCTAGGTCACCAGGGAGTGGCATTTAGAAGGCGTAGCCTGACCACAGATAATGTGGCCTTCATAGAGGAAGTGTGTCACAGGAGGTGGGCATTGGGGTTTCAGAAGATCAAACTAGGCCTCGTGTGTGTCACTATCTCTTTCGGTTGGCTGCCAATCCAGATGTGGAACTCTCAGCTCCTTTCCAGCACCATGTCTGCCTGCATGCTGCCTGCTTCCCAGCTTGATGATAATGGACTGAACCTCTGACTCCATAAGCCAGCTCCAACTAACTGTTTTTCTATATAAGAATTTCTATGGTCATGGTGTCTCCTCAGAAAAATG